ATCTATACAACATTCAAAAACAAGTTGGAAATGGAAGGAAAAACTTTGGAAGTAGGAAGGAGGACACAATAATATCTAGACTCCGTATTGGTCACACAGCTCTTAATCAATCATTATTTATTATTGGTAAACATGAATCAGGTAATTGCAATAATTGTGGTATACCAGAGACTGTGGAACATATCCTATTACATTGTGAAGCATATGAAAGAGAAAGAATGCGATTAATAGAAGAATTAAGTTTGTTGAATATTGAAAGAATTACAATTAAGACAATACTAGAGTACGCTCCAGCACAGTATAAAGTCTATAATGCAATTATTAATTATTTGAAAGCAATAGGTTTAATAAATAGAATTTGAAGATCACATAATGAAGTATATAAAATAATTGTATCCTTGTGTAATACGCCTTTGGTCAAACTAAAGTTGTTGTATTTTTTTTTTTATGTATATGCTGTCACCAATATACGTCATGCTCCACACTCCAGTCCAGTAGGTGGCGGAAATGCACCTTTTCAGTGGGTTTGCCAACCGCCATTAAAAAGAACAGAAGAAGAAGAAGAAAACGAAAACGAGCAGCGCCTACACGTAAAATATCTAATGTTATTTTAGTAGTTTTAAGAGATTGAGTTTTATATAGTCTTTTTTAATTTATAATCAAGATCACTTCGGGTCTTAACATGGTAAGTTTCTACAGCATTACTGACACAATTACAGTTTGCACTGTTTTTGTCAATCACGAATATTTGACGCTGTACGCTATAAGTCACTATTTACGGGAGAAACTGGTATAATTCATAACCTGCTGAGTCATTAATTGCCCTAATAACTTCATTTACAGCAGTCGTGCTGCTTTGCGGTTTGCCTGTATTCACTAAAGCCTTCCTCAAGAGAATATCAGCAAGTTACGAGTATGTGACCACCTGAAGTTTTCATTGGTTCTGTGATTAATGTGCCATTTATGAACAACATGAGCCCCAGTGTAATATTACTGAGTGGTCTATGTCTGACGATAGAGGGGTGGTCAAGGCTAATGCAGGGGGTCCGCAGACCATGACAGAAGATCAGTGTATCACCCCAACCTGGCATAAAAAAGCGTGAATAAATCCTATGATTGCATACTTCATATTACCCCACATTAGTTCAACATACCGTAACTTCACATGTTAGGCTGATTATACACGGGGGAATTTTGCTTGGGCGCTTTCCTATTAAGAATAGGTAACATATTTCTATCTGGATATTTTAGATCGGCCGTGGGCCCTGTGTCTCACCTGGTTGCCCGTTGATGGCAACATTGCTCAAAAAGTTGCCCCGTGTATCATCAGCCTTAACTTATTTCTCTTATCTAACCAGTGGTTGGAGCAAAATATCTTACACTACCTTGTAGGCTACAGTGAAGTTTATAAATGCTGTTCAGGAAACCTAAAACTTCAACTTACTTCAAACAGGGCTGACAACTTTTGAGTTCAGCCTGGAGTGAGAATTATTCAGGAATAATTGACAAGCTTGCGATTAAGTATGTCATTTTTTTCTCCGTTTTTCTAAACTAAACAATACAGGGAACCCTATTGTTGAGGTTAAAAGTAACAGCTGATTTGTATGCAAATATTATAAAAAAAAATTATAATAACGTTATATTTTTACATCATTAATTATAATAAAAAGCAATTATATGAGTAAATATAATAAACATAATTTTTGCTAAATTCTGTCTAGTACACATTTTTCTCGGTAGTTTATGGGCACTGAATGGATTCTGCAGTTATGTGACCATGTTTTATAGCTGCTGTCTTAATGCGATTTTTGAGTGATTACATGAGACGCTATACATTAAGTTGTAGTGTATCTTTTAACATGGATGGGATGTGCATTCTATGTTTATTTCATGCTAATTATATAATGCCCTCCTGCTTCGCTTGAACTGAGGCAATGCGGGAGGGCGCATGTGGACCGTCACGCCAATAAAGAGCTCCAAAACTGGATTTATCATTTGAAATTCGCGTGTGTCCTCTCTGCTCTGCGATGTTTTTCACTCCGTAAGAAAATGAACGTGTGGCACGAGCGGCTGGAAACAGACGAGATCAAGCATGATGCAGAACACCAGACGTGTCACATCCTTGAGTTCAAGGCTAAAATAAACGCTTCTTTCAGTGCAATTAAACAAAGAACATCAAATAGTATCATATCAAAATTTGGGGTGGCCGATCAGATGTCAGGGTTCTGGCTCCGCCACTGATTAACATTTACTGTGTCTATCTGAGATTTATTTTTATTTTTCTCCTGTTTAAAATTAAACTAGTTAAACTAATTATGTTGAATAAATCATACTTTTGATCTAATTTGACGAACAGGTTTGCAAAAGGTCTGGTTTTGCTTGGGGGCACTTCATTTCTGCCAGTATTGTTGACTTGACAGCACAGACACTATTTGAAGAGGACTGAACTGAGCTGGATGACATCACTGAATCATCAATGAACCGGCTTTAGCTGAAAAACTGACTGTTTTCTATATTGTCCCCCTGCATTATTATTATCACACGTTTTTCCTGTTTAACGCTAAAGCTGCTCTGACACAATCTGTATTGTATAAGGGTGACTTGACGACTTCTCACACTGAAATAGCAACGGGATATTTTATAGGACTAAAAACAAAATGATATTTACCTAAAAACCATTGTAGAAAACGAAACCTGCAAATTTATTTTATTCTTTAACAACAATAAAACGACTCGCCTCTGTACTGTATACTTGTAAAACACATTAAACTTGGAGTAAAACATTCATAGATGGCTTGATGTGTTTTTTTGTTGTTTTTTTCTCAGATTCCTGTGTTATCAAAAAGTTCAGTGAGCATGAGGGACCCCAAGAGGGTGGAGCAGATATTAACATCCATGAGAAATGCTGGACCTAGCACACTACAGGTAATGATTTCTCCTGAAAGTGTCAAGCCTGTTTTAGCACTTGTCATTCACGCCTCAGATTTGAAAAAAAAATCCTCAAGAAATGGGTATGTAAAGTAGCAGAAAATTGGGAGAGTTGAGGGTCTTCCAGCAAAACACAAACCTACAACACTCAATTCAAATCATCGCAGATGTATTAAGCGAGGTACGAAGAACGGGCCCCAGGACAAATCCAACCCATCCGGGCCACGAGTACACCTGGGACAGTTTTGCTGGGGTTAGGGCCTTAAATTGTCTTTTAATGTGTTTCTCTGCAAAGATAACTTTGGAAATGGGTCTCCAATAAATGTATCAAGGCATAGCTGTTCTTTCATTTAATTTAAAAGAAGTTCAATTATTTTCATTTTCCTTCCTTTCGCATAAATGCATAAAAGCATACATAAATGCAGTTTGCACAACAGTGATCACAAATGAGATATAATTTGAAGGCAGGTCAGTTAGGCATTTCTCTTTATAACATTTTTCTACATTGATTTCCATGCTTTGTTGAATAAAAGTGTACTTGAAGTGAAAGCTATGAACTCTATATTGCTTACAGGTGAACAGAATCTCAGGAAAAGTGTAAAAGAAAATGATGGACCATATATGAGCCCATGTCCTCTGGACTGCACACTGCATGAATTGAATAACCACTAGATGGCAGTATGACAGATGAAATATTCATTTTCAAATATTCATCAAAATATGGAATCAATAATAAAATTGAACAGAAACAAATAATGATAGATATTACTGAAATTATGTTAATGCATTTTTTGCACATAAATGCAAATGACAGTAAAGTGCATAGGATATGGCCAAAAAATTCAGTTGATAAAGATAATTATCACGAAAAATGTCAGATCTTTATTTCTTTGAAGATAAAGGCAGATTTTTTGAAAGTTGTGGAAACCAGACAGTTAAGTGTTGTGTTAAACTACTTTAAACTTACTTTTTATTTTTGTCAAAACATGATAAACACGTGCCAAACAGGTTGAACATTTGAGGTATCCTAAAGATCCTAAACATTTGTAATAATAAAATATTTTTCTACATCAAAATATGCATGTGTAAACTTAAGTAAAATCCTTTCTCAGTCTTTTTTTCCTTAACAAATTAGTAATAGAGAAATTAATTTCTTAGTTTCTGCATGCTCCAGTCAGTGATACTGTTTCAAATCATAAAACAGGTTTGTGTTGCCTGACTCTGATGACACGATGCAGATGTAAATTTGTTCATTAACAAAAATCTGTAAAAATTGTAACAACCTCATATTTATAGGGTAACATTTTTATATGAACTGTACTTAAAATTGATCCTATGTTATCACACAATTAGATCATGATAACCAAAGGTAAAACCATATATAGCACCTCACTATCATGGTAAAGTGTAACTATATGGTTTCTATGGTATTTGTATGAAAAACAGCAACCTAAATATATTTAGTATAAATTTAAATGCACAAATGTTAGAACTTAATAACAACCATTACTCCTTTAATACATGTCTACATTAATAATATAATAAAATTCCATATGTATATGCCACAATAAAATTATGCAGTTAGCAGCATTACTACAGTAAATGGTAAATCCATATAAGCCTTCTAACGGGATTGTTCGTGAAACAGTGTTTCTCTTGTTTGTCAGTGCTTTTGAGAGCGTTAGTGCTGTTTCATCTGGCTTCAAACGAAATCACTGAGACATTTGTGTTCTTTCAATGAATTCAAGCTGTTCTGGCTGGTCTCTATGTCCCTTATTCCCATTTAAAAACTACAGTGCCTATAGAAAATCATCATACCCCTTCGAAAGACTTTCCAGCTTTACCAATTTTTCAAATTACAAGATCAAAGTAATGAAAGAAACCAACAGTTCTGAGAGAGAAAAAAAACTACTGAAAAACTAGAATAACAGGGTCAGAAAAGATCACATCAGTCCCCTGATTTAATATGTCTGTACTAGCTCACACCTTGCAGAATTGCTGAAGTTCAGTCAAATTCCGTGGTGAGTGGCCATGGACTAGGCTGCAACAAATGATTATTTTGATCATCAATTCATCTAAACATTACAAAGATTAATCAACTAATTGAACTGTATGAAAAGGCAGGTCATCATTCTGCCTTACAACTTATTTTGTAAGTCATATGGAACAAAATAATAGTAAGTGATAAGAAATTTTATTCAAAACTTTAGCTCTCTTAAAACACCTTATAGTGTTATAATAAACTGTCTTGAGCTAGATTAAGCTTTAATCTATGCAAATCAAACTATTACTCTAATGTAATCATGTTTTTTGTTTTTCTTCTTTATCTTTGCATTTACTAATAAAATATTTTACCATTAGTTTGCTCCACAATGGATAGCTGCTTTATAACAGAAAATCAAGTTGTAATTCTAACTGAAAGTATCACTGACACTTTTTTCATGTTAAACATTTCATGTTGTATAAAGCGCTATATAAAGAAACGTGACGTGCCTGGAGTGCCAATTGCAGAGCTCATGTAAACATATCCACATTGCTATGATTGGATGCTTTTCTTAACTGCTGTTTTCTCACCGCTGTCATTTTTGTTGTGTATTTATTTCATTATTGAGAGGAAACACAGCAGTGTCTGGTTCGGCTGCATTTACACTCGGGTCCCACGTCCCAATGTTCACACTATCCATCCTAAATAGTATGTGAGAGCAGAATAAGTGTGTCCCGAAGCATAGCATGTTGAAAGGGTATGCCAGAAGTCCCCGGATGGTCTACTATTTCAGGTAGATTTCTGAAGTGTGAATCCGTTCACCCTCTAAAGGCTAATACTGCCCATGATCCATTGTGCTTCAGTGACAGATTCAGTTCAGAACCACATACACAGATAAAAAGCGTTAAAAAAACTACAAACATGGCGGATGTGCACAAGTGACGTGACATGTGACATGTGGCCAAGTATGGTGACCCATACTCGGAATTAGTGCTCTGCATTTACCCATCCAAAGTGCACACACAGCAGTGAACACACACAAAACGTGAACACACACCCGGAGCAGTGGGCAGCCATTTATGCTGCGGCGCCCAGGGAGCAGTTGGGGGTTCGGTGCCTTGCTCAAGGGCACCTCAGTCGTGATATTGAAGGTGGGAGAGAGCGCTGTACATTCACTCCCCCCACCTACAATTCCTGCCGGTACGAGACTCAAACCCACAACCTTTGGGTTATGAGTCCGACTCTCTAACCATTAGGCCACGACTTCCCCAAGTCCCCAGTTACTGTAAGTAGAGAGGTTTAGATAAATGGGGTCGAGTTACTAATAATCAGCATTTAAAAAATATTTATTTAATGTTATCTGTGTCATATTTCATCTGCAAAAACAATGTGAACTTTATATAAACATCCGTTTGGCCATTAACTTTTAAACACATTATGCAAAAAATATGAGCTCTCCGCATAAAGATCCATGGCTGGCAGATGCTACTACTTCTCCAATACGGTAGGAAGTTATATTAAATCAAATGTGGAGGATGTTATCTGTGACAAGATGATTGACAGGCCAATTTGCAGTGACAGAGTGCGTGTAACTATGACATAATAATATGTCCCAAAGCTGGCCTACTCTTCTATTACACACTCAAAAGTGTGTACGTTTTCTTCACCAAAAGAGTAAATATTTTAAGGGCATAGTATAAGTAGGTCAAATGAGATCAAATGACTATTCGACAAAAAAAAAAAAGTTTAAATTCTTTATTGTCGATGTTGTTGATAATGTCGACTAATCGTTTCAGCCCTACAATGGACTGCTCTCTTAAAGAGTACAGTGACCTCTTATACTGTATGTCAAAAGATCAAGGGAATTTTTGGTTTTTCAGTTCATGACCCCTTTAAACTAAAGTCTCACATAGTCAGATCTATGTAGTCAAATACACTGTATGGTCAAGCAGATGCTACTACTTTTCCAATACGGTAGGAAGTTATATTAAATCAAATGTGGAGGATGTTATCTGTGACAAGATGATTGACAGGCCAATTTGCAGTGACAGAGTGTAACTATGACATAATAATATGTCCCAAAGCTGGCCTACTCTTCTATTACACACTCAAAAGTGTGTACGTTTTCTTCACCAAAAGAGTAAATATTTTAAGGGCATAGTATAAGTAGGTCAAATGAGATCAAATGACTATTCGACAAAAAAAAAAAAGTTTAAATTCTTTATTGTCGATGTTGTTGATAATGTCGACTAATCGTTTCAGCCCTACAATGGACTGCTCTCTTAAAGAGTACAGTGACCTCTTATACTGTATGTCAAAAGATCAAGGGAATTTTTGGTTTTTCAGTTCATGACCCCTTTAAACTAAAGTCTCACATAGTCAGATCTATGTAGTCAAATACACTGTATGGTCAAATTTAATTTTAATTACTCATCTGTTGATTTGATGCCGGTGAATTGCAAAACTGATACAAACATATCCACATCATTATGACCAGACTACTTTTAAGCAAAGAGCAAAAAATCACTTCTCCGTGAATATACTGGGGCACCGAATCACATTCAGGTAATAAGCTGATGGCTGCAGTTTACATAACAGCCAGCAGTATTGCTAATAATACAGGTCTGTGAATTATATATATATAGCTCTGTTAATTGTAAAAACGTGCAATGAAAAACATTTGCAGTTGTTACATTTTCACTCTGCTTACACCGGACATGAGCGGCTCAATGTAACTGAAGACCATAGAGCCCATTTACACTGGATGCAGCATGACAACAAATCCCCCACAGCTCTATGTATGAAGTACGCCACTTCTGACAAAGGACCACTGGGTTTGCAGCAGTCGCTTTGTCATGTCCATCTTTTAACGGTTGCATCCTGTGTAGACACAGTGTTGGTATTGCTGTTGAATCAGTTTTAACCAACCATGACTAGAGAAAACAAAAAAGGGCTATGCCCCCCCCAAAAAAGTTCAAAACCCATTGTGCACTGTGCACACTGTGAGCGGGTATACAAAAATGTGGAAGTACAAGCTGTAGTTTTCACAAGAGGCCTCCATAAGGAAAGGGATATTAACAGCTCCAGACTTAAGAATCTGTTGCACCCACTTCAGGGCCTCATCTGTGTGTTCCCGTTGCTTCTTGGTGCATCAGGAGATCAGTATCCCACTGTGCTTCGTGTCCTGTTGGCTTCTTGCTGTTCTGGCTCTTTTCCCACTGTGCTTTTACCTAGCACAACCAGTGGAAGACATCACCACCACTAGACTGCTCATCAAACCATGTGGAACATAAATATCACTAACCCAAACCACTTTCCAGAGACTTGAGCATTAGTGTATATTGTCAGAATTGTTAGATTTTCAGACTACTAAAAGTATGCTGTTGGATTGTATCAACATGCTACAGGTTCCAGCCTGTATTACTGCTACATTTTTAATTAAGTGAAAGTTTAAATGTGGTTTTTACTCTAATTGAATGAATATGAATTTAGTGTAAACTACTTCAACTTTACTGTGTAAAGACAGTAAAACGTGGTATAATTTTCGAGTTTGAACTGATTTCTCACAATGTAGATATTAGATGTTTTTTGTGTATTTTCTTTTGAATATAAGGCTTGGATGTTCTCATGTAATGACTTGGGTATTTGATGGATTTTTGTTGTTTATGTTGTAGGTAATCTCAGATTTTGATATGACTCTCACCATGTTCGCCTACAATGGCAAACGCTGTCCTACATCCCATAGTAAGTGCAACAATCACTAATATTGCCTTTAGTTTTGCTGAGCTAGTTGTTCACCAATCAATTAGTGAGGTTAAGTAGTTTTTTTTTGTTGACAGCATGCTGGGTGTTTAGCTCTTTGCACAGTAAAACTATCTGTGTAATGCTGCATCTTTAAATTCAATCATTTAAAATCTTTACATCCATAGACATTCAGACAGGTGTCTTTAATCATATGTTTTCGTTTAGTTGATTTTGAAAATGTGTACAAAAGCACAGAATGCTAGATTAAGGTTGTAAGAGTTAACGAGTTTTGTCTATTAACATAAATATCTAAATCTGACCTAAAATTAATGCCGTTGAACACTGAAAGCTGTAAATAACCTGCAGAAAATGAATCGGTGTCAGAAGAGTTTATCTTGTGTGCTTTCTCTTGTGTTGTTAAAATGAGTAATAAATTGTATGCTTTCAGATATTCTGGACAACAGCAAACTGATCAGTGAAGACTGCAAAGCCAAGGTGAGAAAGCAAGTGTTTTCCCTAATGAATATTTTAAGCTTACATTTAGTTTAGACTCAGAACTCTCTGTGCAACTATAGATGTTCACAGATTTTCAACCACTTTGAGTAAACGAACAATGTGTGTTATTTTTTCTGTTACCTGTACCAAAATATCCCTGTTTATTTGTCAGTTCCAGGGCTTTTGTGAAAACTACAGATCATACTTCTGTTATCTTGTCTGTTTTTTTTCCTGTTCATTTATTTTCTGAAGCAGAAGTTTCATGCAATCCCTAGTTGTCTTAAATGCTGTTTTATCACAAACACTGATAATATATTCTGTGTGCAGGTTTTACAGACATATCTTACCTTAACTTAGCACTGTATAGATTTCTTTTTTATGACCAGTGACATTTTTGAGGATTGTTTTTCTGCAGCTGAAGAATCTTCTGGACACTTACTACCCTATTGAGATTGATTCCACACGCTCAGTAGAAGAGAAGTTGCCGCTCATGGTTGAATGGTGAGATACATCTCTCATTGCACAACTTATCTCTCAACAACAAACGGAAGGTGAGCCTATGGCGCATGTGATTCCTGTGAGGGTCCAAGTCTGACCATTGTTTGTTATACGGGTTGAAAGTGTATGTAGGAATGCACCAAAATATCGGCCAATAATCGGTATCAGCTGATAAAAGCAGTTATTTGCACCATTAACCGATTGTTTAAAACCACCGATGATCAGAGCTGAAATCAACATGAATGAACATCATAAGGGGTGTTGAAAGATACAGACCACTTACTGAAATATATCATGTTAGTTGGCTATAAAAAATATATAACGGGAAATATAATAGAGGGAACCAAAAACACCATGGTTTAAACCACACAATGAAATTCTTACTTTGCAAGGCTCCCTTTCACAAAATATACAAAAATATACAATATAGAATATAAAAAAACTATACAAAAATACACAAATGTATACAAATACAAATATACGTTATGCAACGAACAAGTTAGTATAATGGGAGGTGAGATAATATTTGAAGGGTTGTTCAGGAGTCTGATGCCTTGTGGATAAAAATGGTTTGTAAGTCTTTTTGTCCTTGATTTTATACTCCTACCATTTCTCAGATGGCAGAAGTGTGAAGAGACTGTGTTGTGGATGTGTATTGTCACTGATGATGTTGTGGGCCCTCCTGATGACCCTGGTGCTGTAAATATCCTGAAGTGATGGCAAGGCTTCTCCACAAATTAACTGTGCCATTTTTATTACACGCTGGAGAGCTTTCCTGTCTTGAACAGTGCAGCTTCCATACCACACTGTGATTCAACTAGTGGTCACACTTTCAATTGTACATCTGTAAAAGTTGCTGAGGATTTTGGTTTTCATGCCAAATTTCCTTAGCCTTCTTAAGAAATACATTTGCTTACTAATGCCCTAAGCAGAATTGTATTGTTGTACCCCCTCCCTCAAATATTATGGGGGAAAAAACACCTACTATAGAGGTCAAAATAGAACTTTTAATAAAATATAAAAGTAAATTAAATAAATTGTATTATTTATAAATTACAATTATAGCTCTAGACTGTTAGGCTACATATGGCTATAATTTTATTAATACAGTTGTCTGATTGATTTTATAGTCTCAAGCATTCAGAAATCACATAAAAGAAAATTAAGCAGTTTTACTATGATAAAACCATGGTTAATTTTTGTAAGGATTGTGATGTCCACTTGTTTTTGTTGAAGAAATTATAGAGGGTGTAGCATTTCTATCGCAAAAAGGTGGCCAAAAATTAAAGTGGATATTTGAATTCAATGTTTGGTCAATATTAAACAAGGATTCGATCGTCCTGTAAGTGTTACAACAGCATTTAACAGACATTTAGTGCCCTTTGCAGGCATTTGTAACAATATGTAATGTATTGTACATAAATTGTATATTTTTTATTACATTATGTATTTTAACAGTGTTATTCCAAGAAATCATATGATAATTATGAATTAACTAATCTTTATTGCCTCATTGTTTTTATATAATGCATTTTAAGTAGGGATGCACTTTTTCCAGTACTCACCCGAAATCCGATACTTTTATTTTTGGTACTTGCCGATACCAAGTACTGATACCAATATTTTTATTGCATTTGTAAAAAATGTTAATATTGGGTACAGAAACCAAAAGAGTATGTATAATGTTAGTTGGTTAACTTCATTTATCAAATAGATACAGTCAAGCCTAAATTTATTCAGACACCTTCAACATTTCTCACATTATCACAGTTTATTCGCTATAGTTTAGAAAATGGTAATAAAATATGACAAGAACTCAGAGTTAAACTGTGTCAGAACAAATTCAGCTTGATAATGTTACATAACTTTGATAGAAAGGTATGTAAAACAGCTGTTAGTATGACAGTATTTACACAACTATCAATACTTAGTCGGGCAACCCTTAGCCTTAATGACAGCCTGTAGTCTCCTGGGCATGCTGTCATCCAGCTTCATACAAACCTGACCTACAATGTTTTTTCCCAGATTCTGTCTGAATAATTTTTGGTCCCAAATTTGTATACATTTTACTGGTAGTCCACTGTATGAATAATTTTTGGGTATGATTTGTCACAGTTTACTTTATTTTGCAATCCTCACTTGCATAAATTAACTATAGTGACCCACTAGTAAAAAAAAATAAAAAAAATAATATCTGGTCTGAATAATTCTCTCTCCCTCTCCCTACCGTTAAGTAAAGTGCATTGTTTTACTTACTTGTTTTTGACATATCCGACCAAACTACAGACTTTCCAGTGAGGTCTGTGAGAAAGATATATCCACTCGACAAGCTCGCGCATCGGCGCTGCCGCGCGCTCAATCCACTTAGCGTGCTTTGTTTATCAGCTCGCGCACATCAGCTATACAGGCGTTAATACTGAATGTTTAACGTTATATTCATTGCATACATATACTTCTTAGTAGACATCCTTAACTCCATTCTGCTGTCTGTTGTTCTGTTGTCGGTGTTTCTTTGTCTGAATATGGCGCTTATCACATGCTGTGTGGTATCGGCGTTTGGTATGTACAGAATACATACCGTTAAAAACATTTTAACGAGTACGAGTACAGGAGCTCAGTATCGGGCCCGATACCGATACCAATAATTTAAGGCATGGAAACCATTAAAGCTGGCTGCAGACTAGACTATTTTCAAATATTAACCGATTTTAAAACCACGGGAGACCACAAACATGAAGACAGTTTCAACCGATTTTTAGCCTTATAATCCTCTGAACACACAACACTAGATGATTCAACCAGACCGCGAGACCACACACTTGATGACTGTAGGGACGATTTCACAGTGACACGAGATCTCACAGAGACTTGCGAGATCAAACGTGACTAGAGAAGATAAACAAATAGAGGACAATCAACTTAGTCAGCTGGCTCTCCCGGCGCGCGTTCTGTTACACAGTGAAAAACAAAGAATATGGGTGATGTATTCTGCTGACATGACATGTTTGTAGCTGCCGCGTTTCATCTATAGAAGCACGCAACATCCGGTAGGCAACGCTTGCTCGATCTCATTGGCTATCGCGTCAGAGGCAGCCCGATCAAGAGTCCTAAATATCAAACATGTTTGATATTTACGATTTGAGTTTGGGGACGCTCCGTCTCAATCAGGAGCAGATAAATAATCGTAATGAAACCACACAATAGAGGATTTTTGGGACAAAAAATCATTTGCGACAAGCCGTGAATCGGGCTACTTCCCCCGATCGTTAGGGGGTGGAAATCGGCCTTAAAATCCTCTAGTGTGCGACCAGCTTTAGGCAGATGCATTGCTGATGGTGAAATTATTAAAGAAAGCACTAGTTCTTTAGCACTAAACTAGTGCTAAAGAAAGCACTAGTTTATCAAATTATTAAAATGTTACTTATCTTACTGTTTTTCTCTGACACATTCATAATCATTACTTCTGCTGGTGTGCTGTGGCAAGCTTTATGTGGGCGTTTGAGTGCTTAATAGGCTATGTAGGCAATTAAAGGCTTATTATTATTTAAATGGTTTATTAATAAACGTGCGATTAGTTGACACATTTTTCGACCAGAAAAATCTTTAGTCAAGGGCAGCCCTACCAGCCACGACAAACACAGCATCTGTATGCTGATGACTCTGTGCACAATCCCCAGTGCAGTCACATGATCGGTCTCAGCCAGCAGGAACACAGTGCTGAACTGTTTTGGTAAATAAAAACTGCACTTCTCCATCAAAAATGTAATGTCTGAAGAAAAGTACTTTCCAACACCGCACACTTCCCCACACCATCTATTGTTGACGTACATGCAGACACCACCTCTGGTCTTCCCCACGGTAAATGGTGTGTGTGTGGAGCAGGAGAACTGAATCTGCACTTTATTCAAGAGCCAGATTTCCGTGATAATTAGAGGGCGCCCAAACAGGTTAGGTGTGTAGTAATCCAAAATAGCCAAGAAAGGCCCATACACTATAAGGTTGAATTAAGCAAAAAAACACTCTTTACACTCTGACCTGAAACATTTGCCTTTTGTTTTTTTGTTGTTGTTGTACTTTTTCCAGTAAAATGTAGTTTTATCTTTATTTTTTGCCTATTTGTTTTTACACCAATTGCAAGTTGTCATTAATTCATTGTACTTAGGTGTGTGTGTGTGTGTGTGTGTGTGTGTGTGTGTGTGTGTGTGTGTGTGTGCGCGCAGGTGGACTAAAGCTCATGTTTGTTTTTTATCCAATTGCGAGTGGTGTTTAATTCATTGTGTTTGTGTGTGTGTGTGTGTGTGTGTGTGTGTGTGTGTGTGTGTGTGTGTGTGTGTGTGTGTGCGCGCAGGTGGACTAAAGCTCATGAGCTTCTTGTGCAGCAGAAGATCATTAAGGATCACTTGGCTCTAGTTGTGAGAGAGTCTGAAGCCATGCTGAGGTAGGATCATTAACAAAACTAATTTGTACTGTAGTGGGTGATGATATCACTAATAATGATGGTTTGATAATGTGTTTGTCAGGGATGGCTACCAACAGTTCTTTGATCATCTCCATCAGTTGTCTGTTCCTCTGCTGATCTTCTCTGCTGGAATTGGGGATGTGTTAGAGGAAGTGATCAGACAAGCTGGTGTGTTCCATCCTAATGTTAAAGTCTTCTCCAATTACATGGACTTTGACGAGTCTGTAAGTTTCTTTATAAACATCTGTCACGTGTTTGTCAAAATAATTCACTGATATGGATCAAATGATTTTCAATACATTTCTTGTTTAGTTTTAATTTCTATTTTGGCTGCTTAATTTCTGATATTGAATAGTCATTTATGTTTACAGACCTAAATATTTGTGAGACCACAAATACCACAAATGAAAATGAAAGCTTAATTAATGGATTTGACGTTTGTTAAAAAAATAAAAATAATTATCAGCCAAATTAATTTTTACTTCATTTAGTTTTTCTTTTTTACCCAGTGCACATAAGGATACTGATAAACACAGGGCACATGCATTTTAACTTCTTCTTCAGGTCATAGCTGACCTGCAGAGGTGGAAATTCCAGGTTCAGAAAGTATTTTGTTCCAATCACCTGTATTTGCTAATTAGCACAGTTTTTCAGCCAGGAAGCAGGGGCGATTCTAGGATTTTTTTAATGGGGTGACACAGGGGGGACCAAGAACCAGTCAGGGGGGCCCATGGGAAAAGTCATGTGCCCCAACACAAGTGAAATTACATAAAAATGGCACTGCACAAGTGCCTGGACAACTCATCTCTCTTTTTATAAATAAAAATCACTGAACAGACAATAATTGTTCTCAACTTCTTCAAACAGGCTGTGTGTGTGTGACTTGTGAACTTTTTTGTAAAAATTGCTCATGTTCTGACTTTCACCTGTTGCTGCAGATAGATGGCTGCTGGTGTAGTCCTCACTGACCCTCTCTGGCTGGCTCTGACCTGTGCTGCCAGGTTCAGGGCTGATCATTTGCTGGCCAATTTTACCCTGCCTGGTGGATTGGCTCTGACCTGCACTGCACTGTATCTACCTGTCTTTGACATGGTTTCTTCTTGAAGAAACCTTGAATGTATTGATACGGTGCCTGACTTTGTCCCCTTTTAATTTTTTCCACAAAATTCTGTCTTAAAAAAAAAAAAACTAAATCATTAATATTACACAAATAGTGTATTTAATAGCCATATTCTCATCTGATTAAAGACAAAATTTAAATGTGAAGCTGTTCTTGGACATTGCAAACGAAAATAAAAAAATATATGACTGCCACGCAAAAACTTTTATTCAATACAAACAGGTGTTTACTATTCTACATCTTAAAATTCCAAGTGGCAGAACGCTAACATTATTAAAACCCCACATTTTAGCATTTACCACGTTACTGCAGATTATCCCACCGAACGAGACCAGATCGCTCACGCTGGCAGAGGGACGCTGGTCAGGCTGGGCGAAGAGGACGGGGGAAGCCTCTCTGTGTGGAGAGAGCGAGGTACGCGGGACCTGAGCCGACGTAAGCTCGCTCGCATCTGAGCGCTGTGATCCTCTGCCCCGCTGTTTTTTCCTCACAGGTTCCTGGGAGGAAGAAAACGGGAGGGCGCGAGGGCCGGTGTCGCTTTCTGAAAAGAAAGCTATCCACGAGCGCAGAGAGGCAAGACTCATGCTATCACAATGGGAGCAATCCGTCTCAGTGAGCATGGATTCCGCGTGGGATTTCCCCAGGCAGGAAACGCACTCACGATGGCTGTCATCGGCACGCAGGGGAGCCCCGCACGTACCGCAATGACAGCGCAGCATTTGCATCAACGCGGCGAAAATTTGCTCTTTAGAAATTTGCTCTGATAGGGCTCGCCGGATGGCGGCAGGGGAAGCTGGCATCACTGCTGCGCATTGCTAAAGGCGGCGAATCAGCCGAGCAGATGAGCAGTGTTCCATTGCGAGACGTGTCAACGGCGAGCAGGCTCTTCAGTCAGCGAAGATCGCGAAGAACGTCGTCGTCACTGAAGGGGAAGAAATCTGAATCCTGTGGCGAAGCTGCCGCTTATATAGCCAGATGGCCCCGCCCATTCTGGTGGGCTTCGTGGCCATAGGTTCGTGCAGCACCGCTGCCGAGCCATTGGTTCGTCTTTAAAATGCACTGCACGAACCGATGGCCGTGCAGTTACACAGCGTGATTGAAAAAGGCTTCAGTTCAGGAGAAAAAATGACTTTTTCCCCATAGTGTCTTAAAGGGTTAGTTCACCCAAAAATTTTAATTAGCTTGTGTTTTTCCCTCGAGGCATCCTAGGTGTATATGACTTTCTTCTTTCAGACGAATCCAGTCGGAATTATATATATTCATTTATTTCAGTAATTCAACTCAAATTGTGAAACTCCTGTTTGGCTCACATTTAACAAAAACCCACCAATTCTCACTATCTCAACAAATTAGAATACTTCATAAGACCAATAAAAAAAACATTTTTAGTGAATTGTTGGCCTTCTGGAAAGTATGTTAATTTACTGTACATGTACTCAATACTTGGTAAAGGCTCCTTTTGCTTTAACTTTTCCACGACATTCTAATTTATTGAGATGCACCTGTATTGCGACACGTTTCATTTTGACTTGAACAGCAGCAGTTCTGAAGACCTGGTTGGTACTGGCTGCACTGCACTGGCTACCAATAGCTGCTCGAATAAAATTCAAGGCATTAATGTTTGCATTAATTGCATTAATGTTTGTCTACATAACCACCACTGGCTCTGCACCCATTTACCTAAATTCATTACTTGAGACTTATGTGCCTCTAGAAGCTTGTGTTCTGCAAGTGAACGGCGCTTTATTGTTCATCTCAAAGAGGCACAAAATCATTTTCACATTCTTTTTCATTAACTGTTCTCTCTTGGTGGAATGACCTGGCCAACTCAATCCGAGCAGCTGAGTCCATAGCCATCTTCAAGAATCAGCTAAAAACACATCTCTTCCATCTTTATTTGACCCTCTAACTCTGTCTCTATTCTATTCTTTAAAAAACTTGCCCCTTTTAGACTTGCACTCTATTCATTTACTAACTGCTTGTTTTCTTAAAAAAAAAAAAAAAAACTAACTAACACTAGTTTCTCTATTCTTTTTGTATTATATCTATTTGTTTACTTTTATTTAGTATACAATTAACAAAAAGCAAAAAAGGCCTCTAACACTAGCTTGCTCTATTTTCTATTCTATCTGTTTTCTTTTTATTTGTTATATGTTATGTTATATTTTTTTTTTAATCTTGCTGCGTTAAGCTAACTGAGACTTGTTAAAGCACTTGCATATCATTGCTCTTTTGTTGAGTTTTATTGCTTCCATTGTCCTCATTTGCAAGTCGCTTTGGATAAAAGCATCTGCTTAAATGATTAAATGTAAATGTAATGTAAATCTAAGTACACAGTTCTACGGTATACTTGAGCCTCTTTTTGTGCTTGTAACAGGGTGTTTTGCAGGCATTTAAAGGAGAGCTGATTCACATCTACAACAAACGGGAAGGAGCTCTGCTCAATACCGAACACTTCAAGGATCTCCAGAGCCGCTGTAATGTCCTCCTGCTCGGAGACTCTCTTGGGGATCTCAACATGGCTGATGGAGTCATGGACTTACAAAACATCCTGAAGATCGGATACCTCAATGATAAGGTAAATCCACAGTAAAAGCAGGACAGCACATGAAAAAAAGGAAAGAAACACTAATGAATGTTTGTTTTTACCCTAGGTGGATGAGAGGAGACAGTCGTACTTAAACTCCTATGATATAATTTTGGAGAAAGATGAAACCATGGATGTTCCTAATGAGATCTTACGATACATTACAGGACAATGAACTTAGACCTAAGATCTCCAAGATAAGGATGGACACAGTGATTTTATTTTCTGTGGGTTGAAATATCATTCTGTTGTTTTTCTACCTTGACGACTTCTACATGTTCATATTGTACCATTATCTGGATTGTCTATATTTGTCCATCTGCACACGGTTGAGAAGACACCAACTTGGTATCTCCAATTTAGATAGCGTTGTTAATCAGGGATTATGGTTCTACACATCTTTCTCACTGAAGTTTAAAAAATAAATACGTTTTTTAATGGAGGTGTCATGATGTTAATTGTGTATTTACTAAGTCAGTACATTTATGTGAAGGTGACAAAAGGGTAACTTGTTTGCCTCTACCTAAAAACATTTAATGGCATGTCTTGTTTTAAAAATGGAAAAATAAAAGAATAGAACCAGAAAGTTAAGTACTAATTATACATTATATTTGTCAAAATTTATAAAGTAAAAAAGTTTTCTTAGACCAGATGTTAAACTAATATTTGTCACAGCCAACTGATTTGTATAGAGTTTGCTATAGAGTTAGGTCCAGTAAATGCATTTTACAGGTTTCAGAGAAAGAGCAAGAAGTTATCCAAATCAGTTGCTGTAGGGATACTGTAATGGTTGCAGCAGAGTCCTGGTGGGTGAACTGTTAGTATTTGATGTAATTGATGAAAAATTCAAGAATCTATAGAATCATTTTTTTTTTCTATTATGCACCGAGCATGAACTACAAAAAGAACAACAACTACAGTAATAGAAAAATAAACTTAGAGCATAGTGTGGTTTCCCTACAGTGGTTCAGGCTGTAGGATTGCCGAATGACTAAAGAAATGTAATCAGCACGATGGTATAAAACATTAAGCATTTCTTGTTTATTACCACCCACTGCCACTTATACCACGTCTGAAATAAGCATGGTTAGAATAGCTAAATATGTGGGACAGTGTTGCTATTGAGTGACTATATTATTACAATTTGGCATTGGTGGAAAAACATTCAATGCTATACAGTCCATGTATAAAAACAGTAAATGTGCAGTCAAAACTGGGGAATCTCAGAACAGCGTTCTTCCAGCAGGGCCGTGGAGTGAGGCAGGGATGCAGTCGTAGCCAACACTGTTTAACATCTACATCAACGAGCTGGCAGAAGCTCTGGACCGCTCCGGCAGCATCCTGGGCCTCGCTCTGCATGACTCTGTCTCTATTCTATTCTTTAAAAAACTTGCCCCTTTTAGACTTGCACTCTATTCATTTACTAACTGCTTGTTTTCTTAAAAAAAAAAAAAAAAACTAACTAACACTAGTTTCTCTATTCTTTTTGTATTATATCTATTTGTTTACTTTTATTTAGTATACAATTAACAAAAAGCAAAAAAGGCCTCTAACACTAGCTTGCTCTATTTTCTATTCTATCTGTTTTCTTTTTATTTGTTATATGTTATGTTATATTTTTTTTTAAATCTTGCTGCGTTAAGCTAACTGAGACTTGTTAAAGCACTTGCATATCATTGCTCTTTTGTTGAGTTTTATTGCTTCCATTGTCCTCATTTGCAAGTCGCTTTGGATAAAAGCATCTGCTTAAATGACTAAATGTAAATGTAATGTAAATCTAAGTACACAGTTCTACGGTATACTTGAGCCTCTTTTGTGCTTGTAACAGGGTGTTTTGCAGGCATTTAAAGGAGAGCTGATTCACATCTACAACAAACGGGAAGGAGCTCTGCTCAATACCGAACACTTCAAGGATCTCCAGAGCCGCTGTAATGTCCTCCTGCTCGGAGACTCTCTTGGGGATCTCAACATGGCTGATGGAGTCATGGACTTACAAAACATCCTGAAGATCGGATACCTCAATGATAAGGTAAATCCACAGTAAAAGCAGGACAGCACATGAAAAAAAGGAAAGAAACACTAATGAATGTTTGTTTTTACCCTAGGTGGATGAGAGGAGACAGTCGTACTTAAACTCCTATGATATAATTTTGGAGAAAGATGAAACCATGGATGTTCCTAATGAGATCTTACGATACATTACAGGACAATGAACTTAGACCTAAGATCTCCAAGATAAGGATGGACACAGTGATTTTATTTTCTGTGGGTTGAAATATCATTCTGTTGTTTTTCTACCTTGACGACTTCTACATGTTCATATTGTACCATTATCTGGATTGTCTATATTTGTCCATCTGCACACGGTTGAGAAGACACCAACTTGGTATCTCCAATTTAGATAGCGTTGTTAATCAGGGATTATGGTTCTACACATCTTTCTCACTGAAGTTTAAAAAATAAATACGTTTTTTAATGGAGGTGTCATGATGTTAATTGCGTATTTACTAAGTCAGTACATTTATGTGAAGGTGACAAAAGGGTAACTTGTTTGCCTCTACCTAAAAACATTTAATGGCATGTCTTGTTTTAAAAATGGAAAAATAAAAGAATAGAACCAGAAAGTTAAGTACTAATTATACATTATATTTGTCAAAATTTATAAAGTAAAAAAGTTTTCTTAGACCAGATGTTAAACTAATATTTGTCACAGCCAACTGATTTGTATAGAGTTTGCTATAGAGTTAGGTCCAGTAAATGCATTTTACAGGTTTCAGAGAAAGAGCAAGAAGTTATCCAAATCAGTTGCTGTAGGGATACTGTAATGGTTGCAGCAGAGTCCTGGTGGGTGAACTGTTAGTATTTGATGTAATTGATGAAAAATTCAAGAATCTATAGAATCATTTTTTTTTTCTATTATGCACCGAGCATGAACTACAAAAAGAACAACAACTACAGTAATAGAAAAATAAACTTAGAGCATAGTGTGGTTTCCCTACAGTGGTTCAGGCTGTAGGATTGCCGAATGACTAAAGAAATGTAATCAGCACGATGGTATAAAACATTAAGCATTTCTTGTTTATTACCACCCACTGCCACTTATACCACGTCTGAAATAAGCATGGTTAGAATAGCTAAATATGTGGGACAGTGTTGCTATTGAGTGACTATATTATTACAATTTGGCATTGGTGGAAAAACATTCAATGCTATACAGTCCATGTATAAAAACAGTAAATGTGCAGTCAAAACTGGGGAATCTCAGAACAGCGTTCTTCCAGCAGGGCCGTGGAGTGAGGCAGGGATGCAGTCGTAGCCAACACTGTTTAACATCTACATCAACGAGCTGGCAGAAGCTCTGGACCGCTCCGGCAGCATCCTGGGGGCCTCGCTCTGCATGACTGAAGTCAAATGCCTGCTGTATGCAGACGACCTGGTTCTGCTGTCCCCCACAGCTGAGGGTCTCCAGCACAACCTGGCCCTGCTGGAGCAGTACTGTGAGGAGGGGGCACTGACGGTAAACCTGAACAAAACCAGGGTCACGGTGTTCCAGAAGAAGGCCAGGTCTCAGAGAAACAGAGAGGGAGCAGTTACAGAGCAGAAGTCCTAGAGCACAGCAGCAGCTACACTTACCTGGGCATCAAGATCTCAGCATCAGAGGGCTTCAGTCTGGCTGTGAAGGGCCTGAATGAGAGAGCCCGGAGGGCTTTTTATGCCATAAAATCACGGTTTGGCCAATTAAAACTACCAATTAGAACATGGATTAAATTATATCACGCCATCATTAAACCAATTCTACTATAGGAGTGTGAAATTTGGGGACCAGTATTAAAGTTTGAAAATTGGGATAAAAGTTTAATAGAACGAACATAATTGGAATTTGCCAAAAAACATTCTAAGGGTAATCGGAGGCACTTCTAACAATGCCTGCAGGGCTGAACTGGGCTTATACCCCTTACACATTGAAATACAAAAAAGAGCTGTTCAATTCTGGTATCACCTGAGTCAATCTGACACTCAGTCGATTCAATATAAAGCCCTCCTCGCCAATGAATCCCCCAGTGTCTCATCCTCTAAATACACTTGTGCTTCAACTAATGAAAGAAACTCAAGCTGAGTCTGACTCCAACCACAACCCCAACATTCATAAAGACATTGACAAACCTAAAGTATAATTATGACGAAAAATTAAAAAACGAATTTGACCTCCAAACCAAACTCCAGTGTTATTCGGCCCTAAATAGAACCACCAAATTGGCAAATTACTTATCAATCAAACAGTTGAAAGACAAATCCTTTCAAAATATCGACTCGGCGACCACAACTTAGAAATAGAGAGAGGAAGATATAAAAGATCCTGGATACCAAGAGAACAGCGACTATGCAAGCACTGTGACAAATCAAATAGAGGATGAGAAACACTTTCTTCTTGTCTGCCCCAAATACACCATTACAAGACAAATATTCTTCCACAATTTGAAGCATTGAATTGTTCATTTTTGTCTCTAAACGACTCTACGCTATATACTCATAGAGGATGACATGGCAGTCAAACTAGCTGCAAAATATGTATACACCTTACACACCATACGAAATGGTTAATTCATTGTATCCATTTGCTCTATTTGACATTCTTCATTGTATATAATTGCAATTATTATAATTAATATTAGAAACACTGTCTGCTGTTGCTATTTTTATTTTATTGTATTTATCTATTTATTTTCTCATTTATTACTCATTTATTGTCTCCTTTTTTACTTTGATGGTGTAATTATGTTCTGTATTTTACACATCTAAAATGCTTTGACTACTGTAACACAAATGTCATGCCAATAAAGCAACTTGAACTTGAGAGAGGGAGATAGCGAGAGAGAGAGAGAGAGAGGATTAAAACACTTATTTTATCTCTTATCTACACTATATTTTATCAATCTTCTTTCATCCCTTTCTTGACCATGTGACTAAAACCAAATGTGAGACATTCAAACTGACCAATCAGCAAATTACAACTTCACCCACTGTAAAGGTGTCACAATTAGTAGGCCCCCAATGTATACACATCTTGGCCTACAGGCCTTGATCACTATCAGCACTTATGTGTCTTCAGGAATGCCAAATGGCCCTTTTGTTACTGAAGATAGGTTCGGGATATGAAAGCAAAAGTCCTTGATTACTTTTGACCCTACAATAGAAAGTGGGCTAAACAGAGAAAGCATAGGTCACATTTATTTATGTAGTGCTTTATATAATACAGATTGTTTCAAAGCAACTACACATTAATAAAGAGGAAAATAACGGTGTTATAGTAAAAATGCATCAGTTATGAAACAAATTTAATTTCAACTGTAAAGCAGCTATAAAAAAGATAATGGTGTCATTATTCAGCTTAATTTAGTTCATCCACCCAGCCATACATCCATTATCCTCTGCTTGTCTGGGACTAGGGCGCAATGGCAGGATGCTAATTATAGCCACCCATACCAGGGTTTTCACGGGTCCTTAAAAGTCCTAAATTTAGTTTTATCAAATTTGAAGTCATAAAAGTCTTAGATTTTGGGACAGAAAAACAGGAATCATGATATGGCTTAGTGTGATGACTAAACTTCAAAAGGCTATGATGTTCACAGTGGGAAACCAAGAAAACCACTATATGCTTTTTCAAAAGTGCTACCCACTGGCAAGTATGAAATCAGCCCATCTGCTGTTTTTTTGCTAAGACCAAAGCAAGATTTGATGCAGCAATCCAAATTTGCTGTAATGCACTTCCTCCAGCTCCTCCTGGGGAATCCCTAGGTGTTCCTAGGCCAGCCAAGAGATATAATCCCTCCAGCCTGTCCTGGGTCTGCCCTGGAGTCTCTTCCCAGTTGAACATGCCCAGAACACCTCTGACGGAGGAGTCTGGGAGGCAACCTGACCAGATGCCCAAAACACATCTACTTGCTCCTTTCAATGCACAGGAGCAGCAGCTCTACTCCAAGTCCCTGCTGGGTGTCTGAGATTTGCACCTAATTTCTAAGGGTCACCCAGAGATCCTGCAGAGAAAATCCTAGAGCACAGCAGCAGCTACACTTACCTGGGCATCAAGATCTCAGCATCAGAGGGCTTCAGTCTGGCTGTGAAGGGCCTGAATGAGAGAGCCCGGAGGGCTTTTTATGCCATAAAATCACGGTTTGGCCAATTAAAACTACCAATTAGAACATGGATTAAATTATATCACGCCATCATTAAACCAATTCTACTATAGGAGTGTGAAATTTGGGGACCAGTATTAAAGTTTGAAAATTGGGATAAAAGTTTAATAGAACGAACATAATTGGAATTTGCCAAAAAACATTCTAAGGGTAATCGGAGGCACTTCTAACAATGCCTGCAGGGCTGAACTGGGCTTATACCCCTTACACATTGAAATACAAAAAAGAGCTGTTCAATTCTGGTATCACCTGAGTCAATCTGACACTCAGTCGATTCAATATAAAGCCCTCCTCGCCAATGAATCCCCCAGTGTCTCATCCTCTAAATACACTTGTGCTTCAACTAATGAAAGAAACTCAAGCTGAGTCTGACTCCAACCACAACCCCAACATTCATAAAGACATTGACAAACCTAAAGTATAATTATGACGAAAAATTAAAAAACGAATTTGACCTCCAAACCAACCTCCAGTGTTATTCGGCCCTAAATAGAACCACCAAATTGGCAAATTACTTCTCAATCAAACAGTTGAAAGACAAATCCTTTCAAAATATCGACTCGGCGACCACAACTTAGAAATAGAGAGAGGAAGATATAAAAGATCCTGGATACCGAGAGAACAGCGACTATGCAAGCACTGTGACAAATCAAATAGAGGATGAGAAACACTTTCTTCTTGTCTGCCCCAAATACACCATTACAAGACAAATATTCTTCCACAATTTGAAGCATTGAATTGTTCATTTTTGTCTCTAAACGACTCTACGCTATATACTCATAGAGGATGACATGGCAGTCAAACTAGCTGCAAAATATGTATACACCTTACACACCATACGAAATGGTTAATTCATTGTATCCATTTGCTCTATTTGACATTCTTCATTGTATATAATTGCAATTATTATAATTAATATTAGAAACACTGTCTGCTGTTGCTATTTTTATTTTATTGTATTTATCTATTTATTTTCTCATTTATTACTCATTTATTGTCTCCTTTTTTACTTTGATGGTGTAATTATGTTCTGTATTTTACACATCTAAAATGCTTT